AGTTTGACTCGTTGGTGGGATATTGTGTTCCGCAATACTGAAGAAAATTAAAAACCGGAAATTGTTTCCTTTCATTTTGCCGATAACATCATAAAGGACAGTTAGGAATGAACATGCGGACAGTTAGTCACAGGAGGCAGCAACAGTTATTTCAGCTAAGAAAAAAACGAACTTCGGCTTTGGATATCTAGAAAACAAGTCAAAACAAAACCGATTTCCATTTTAAAACATAAGACTAACCAGCTTGAATGAAGAAATATATTGACTAGAGTAGAAGCAGCAAAAAACAATGCTGATTCGAAGTAAATTTCACACCAACATGTAGAACATTACACTAACTGCGGCATCTTAGCACATTGAAACATTAATTACGTAGCTACACAAAAGAAATAGCTAAAAGAAGCACAGAACGAAGAAACCCGGCCACCATTACGTACAAAGATGGCTGACATAATAATTCCCGCCACATTCTGACTGGTTGCTAAGCTGAAGGGCACATTTACGAAATTGAGTTGCGTTTAATTGCAGCCTGATTTTTGGAGACTTAAATTTTCATGGAAAATACGTTCATTGGAGGTGAAAACTTCACTGAAGCTCGCTTCCTCAACTTCATTGAGGATCTGGGATTATTCAAAATTTTGAAGCCGACAAATAGTTGAAGAAACAGTCAGACAACGTCGCGCTTAGACTGGGTATTTACAGACAAAGGATCTTCAGTTGACAACCTCTAGATTCTGGCTCTTTCAGGACAGAGCGATCACGCTGTCATAGATCTCAGTTTTATCACCAAAACTGGGCTAAAACATACTACCAACAAGAGGCGCTGAAATTTCAAACGGTTGGATGTGTCAGCTTTACAGGACATTCTACGCCAAGTGGCTTGGAAAGTCGACCCCCAACTTGTTGTGGATGCCCATTGGGATTTCTTTCTACACACGACTTTACATGCTACAAGGCTGTCTGTTCCTCAAAAGGTCGCCAAAATTTACGACCACCCAGATCCTTCATTCGCAAAGCCTCAAATATCACTGCTGAGCGAAATACAAAGGAACTGGTGGCAATGGCGCATACAGGCAATGCAATCAAATAAGGAACATGTGCAAAAGGGCAGTGGGATAAAACAGACTTCAGCACCAGATACAACTTATCGATAAAATTGTATCCAAACTGCTAGATCCTAATGGACCGACCAACAACGACGTGATGCCGCTTACTTTTCGAATGAACAGTACACTTGGATGGCTCAAATCACACCAATTTTCAAAGGAGGTCAAAGCAGCGAATCTTCCAGCTACTAACCGGTAGCACACCTCAAAAATTATGAAATCCCTGATATGAGACGATCTACGGGACTACTTACTATCCACAAAATCCTTTTCATCCCAACAGATAAGGTTAATTTTGTATAACGAACTTGCTGACCACGGAAGACTAATAGGCAACCATCCTTGATCTCAAGAGGAAGGATGATGTCATATATCATGGATCCCCAAAAGCTTTGGTTAAGGTCAACCATATATTTTTTATCAATAAGCTGAAACAATTAATTATCAATTCTTCCTTAATTGATTGACCCACTTCATATCTAAAAAAATCAACTTTGTAAGGTCAGGTTTGATTTCACTTTCTCTCAGGCTATGCAATGTTCTAGTGGAGTCCCCCGATGTTCGATAATAAAACCTCTTCTTTTATTGATTTATATAAACGATCTTCAATTGACTCATAAATTCAACTATTAAACTACTATATTATCCACAAAACCCATCCTGATAATATATGTTATATTTCTTAATTTTCCATTTCTCTGAGAAAAGAGATATCCTAGATTAAGAACAGATAAACTGTGCGTTCTGTTACTGATACATGATAAAACAATGAATCAATATTTGACATTTGAACAGACATTAAAATGAATAATATCAAATCTACTTATATTTATTTTAGTATATGAGTATTTGAACTTTGATCGACAGAAATTGTATTAAAGCATAGGGTGAAATATCATTTTTACAGAAAGGCTTAGATAAACAAAAATATTACGACTTGTAAATATTAAATACTAAAAAAACACATCTCCACTTTTTGTTATACGTGGCCTTGTATCTCTATCAACGTGTGATGTCATGATGCAGCCAATTAGAGGACAGTGATTTATCGACTGGATCGATGACGCATTAAACAAGTATGAGCAGTCTAAAGTCCTTATTGGCCCTTCTTGCTGTCAAGCCCTGTCTACACGTTCAGTCCGGAACATTAATCTCAACCTCCACGATATGAATCATGTATTCCAAACATACCGGGTTTATATACAAACCAAATAGATCACATCACACCATAAAATAAAAAACATTTGTAAAAGGTCAAACCAAAAAGTAACTGCGAATGTGGGAGACTGTCATTGATAAACTGGGCATAACTCAAGAACGGCAAATCGTATAATACCAGTTTATGGGTCAGAATAAAGTGTATAATAAGAGGAATATAACTATTCATAGTTTAGTTGCTTAACAATTACACAATACGTATATAAAGCATAGAATTATTCCACAAATGGATCCCAACATTTATCATACATAATTCTCGTCAGGACATAACAATATAGAACTGTATTCATCAAGAGTATTCAGTCAAAAGTAGAAAAGTATTAAAAAGAAGTAAATTAATTGACTCAATAATTAAGTTATATTTGTCAGTAAAACAAGTTAATCTCTACATTTCATAATATTGATTAATTAATGTAGATCCTTGTTACGTCATTACATTCCAATTCATTGATTGAGTAAACATTTACAATAAGATTTATAAATAAGCATATTTTTTTAATGTTATCATGATCAGTTTTGAAACAATGGTAACTCCATGAATAAATTTAGATCTTCAGTTTTTGCATTCCATCATATCAGTCTTGTTTTATTGAAAAGGATAACAAATTTCGATTCATTCTACACTTATCATATCAACAGACGTATAGGCAGAAGTATCAAGATTTTTTCGCACGTCGTTACACATACAGTGAATTTGATTTTTTTTCAACTCATTTACTATGGAGTGGAATTGGATTTTCTGTAAAACTATCGTAAGTATTGTCGAAAGTGAAATAAGCTGTCGACTAAATATTGTCGACATTACTTACTTACGCCTGTCAATTCCAATGAGCATAGGCCAACAATCGCCACCCTGATAGTACTAGATGGCCGTTTCGTCCAATTGTCGGACACCTTAGTATTGCGCATACACCATCCCAACCAGGACCTAACAGTTTCGCGCGAACGCCTAAATAATGCGACACTGAGCCAGCTGGCATTCAACGATGTTAACGTCTAACTTCAAATAATCCACGAAATTGCGCCATTGTCTATCATCAATGTTTTCAGTGCCTTACTATCCCACAACACACCCGGTTGAACCCCATTATTCACTGCTTCTCACTGGAACTCCAGGAAATATCTGTTGAAGCCAGTCACTAGTGAGCATATGTTAGCTAGTATCACAAGGGATTTTTGTGGATAACATAGTAAATTGAATAGTTGAGATTGTGAGTCAGTTGAAGCTAGATCACCACGAAAAACCTGGAAACACTTAGTTCCATACCCAAACGAAACAGCCGTCCAATGCTTTCTGGTTTTTAATGGTGACCGAAAATCAATCCATTTATGAAGTAAAACAAATATTTGGAAATTTGTTAATAATCTACAATATTATTGTTTTTTCCACATAAACTAACCAAATCATGATTAGCTTAGACTTGTTTAGTACTTATTTATTTCAAGACATAAATATTGGTAGAAGACACTAATCAGATATGCGATTTGCGCGAGGGCTGTGATACTGCTCGGGTGTCGAGACCGAGGCAGGCGGTCATACCTCGTACCTTCCACATAAAGATCTAATCCATAATGCAGTGGAGCAACGTAAGGAAATGCAGTTCCATGGTAGCCGGTGACCAATAATTAGTTCATATGCCATTTGTTTCCTTCGGATACCGAAACCTATGTACATCGTTGGTTTAGAACCGGGGTTTACCAACTCTTTTAGGTGGGCCCTCTGTGTCTAACAACCCGGACATTCGGGTTTCGTCCTCTCAATTTTGTAAAGAACAACAGTGCCGCGAGAATTCAGTGAATGAGACTTGCCTGACAGTGGTGTTATAAACGTGGCCACTTGATAGCATTTGGAGAGGGAGATATGAATTTCCTCACGAGTTAAAACATCTTCCCAATTGTTTTAAACTTATCTCTCAGCTATACTTTTACCATATTATTTCCTAAGTAACATTAGTCAACTTGAATATTTTATAGAAATATTCAAGTTAACATTGTCTAATAATAACAGATCTCTTTGAAGAACTATATCATCACGTGAAGTGAATGTAGTATGGAATAAATTTTTGCTGAACTTACAAAGTTTATAAATACACAATAAGAAGGGAGTATAATTAAATGAAGAAAAAACAACTGATAATATTACATATGATTATGTTTATTGAAGTTTAATACATTCAGTTAGTTAGTGATCAATGTAATACTACTCCTAATAAAGCATATATAGTTTACATCTGCTAGAATCACGTGTCGCGTATGCCTGAACACCGATTACCACGACGCGCAATGCTAACTGACTAGTGTTGGAGATGGCTGGAATAAAGTTAGGGGCGGCTAAACCAAAACGTGGCATCAGTCATTGGAATCACTAAGTTCTGATCTGAGCTATGTTGGTAGATGCCGAGTGCTCGTTTGGAGTCCGCGTGACTATCGTAACCAATGGTTGCAGACTCTGAGTGACATGGCTACAAATCGATTTTAATGGCGCAGATATGGCAACTTGGGACGATGTGTATATGTGCCTGTTGAGTCACTCAGATTTGTTATCACATTTCAACTTGATTATCATTAAAGAACTAAACAAACATGATACTGTTCAATAACCAATCAACTGTATATTTAATTTAGTGTGAACATAACTGACAGAGCAAGTTGTATTTGGTAAGACAACTAACAGAAACGAGGAGTTATGGGATAGATATTCCGTTCTAATTTTAGAATCCTAGGAAGTGTGTTATGAACTCTACGGGATTACGACGACAGGCAAGGATGACCATCATATCAAAGTGGCAGCTACGGTTTGACTATCAATAGAAAGTTGTAAATTTGTTCATTCGTTAAAGATTTAGCACTTCACGTACACACATGCATTATGTAACTGCTTATTTACTTTCTCCTCAGAATAAACAAACTACACTTGAAACTAAATGGACCACAGTACCAGCACCACCACCACAGTGAAACAATCACTTCTACAATTTTAATTTTTTTTTAAAAACAGTCATACAACATAACCAAGGAATGACAATCATTATTTTAAATACACTAATGAACGATTCAATTCCGTGATGCGATATATAAATATAAGAGGACACTTTAGAGAGTAGAAGAGTGGAGTGGGGGGGAAGTAATAGGTGATTAAAAAGGATGTGACTAGCAAATGCAAAATTACGTAAAGTAGTAAACAGACAGAATATATGTCGCCGATTTATTATATATATATAAATATATTCACGATTGGGTTTTCAACAAAAAACGGATGCCTTGATCTTTCACAGGTTAGAATGTTAACTTTTTACATTGTTCCCATGGGAATTCCGGTCGACCAAAGTGACCATAAACAGCAGTTTGTAAATAACGAGGTGTTCGGAGATCTAAGTCTCTATAATTGGAAAAAAAAATTGAAGAAATTAGCCGACATATATTTTATTTTGGGGACAAGGGAAAATAAGAGATTGTGAATGAAAAACTACTTACTTGACTATTACTCCAGGACGTAGATCGAAATTATTCACAATAATATCCAATAATTTCTTATCGCTAATCTTTGCAGTCCCATAACTGTTTACATTAATAGCCAACGGTTCTGCAATCCCGATAGCGTACGAGAGCTGAAGAAAGTGGAGACGACAGTAATACCAGGTCAAAACAAATGATAAATATTATAATTGATCGACAAACATATGTACTTTTCAGATTACTAAACGAAGTTTGCGAACGGACAATATCAGATACACCATGTTTGCTTCGATTTACCGGGTTGTTGATGACAACCTGGCTCAAAGTCAACTACTGTTCAAAATTTTCACTTGAATATTTGGTACTTCTGTGGTGTGCGCTACTTATGTGGACAGACGTAAGTAGTATGTAGCAGGAATTGGAGTGCATACCAGCAGAAGTTTGAAATGAAAACAAGAGGTAGGAAAACATAGAGCAATCGGAATACAGACAGGAGTGGAAGAACGATGGAGCGTGTAAAGGACATCTCAAGGAAGATATATGCAGATGATATATTTAATGCATGATTTTAATATTTTGCGAAGAAACTGTGATTTTGAATAGAACAATATATTGGTTTACCATACCTGATTTTCCGATCACTACACTACCACTAAAATTTGCACCTGTGGTTGATTTACCTGGATTCATGCCTGAAGCTTCCGCTGGCCGCAGAGATTTTTCTTGTCGTTGTTGCCGTTACTGTATCCCGAGACTAAGAGCAGCTTGACCTTACACAACATAGATCCGGTTAACGACAACGGTCCAGTATATGTCTAACGCTTGAGCGCTATAAAACTGGTTAATTCGATATGTGAGTTGTTACACACATTTTAGTGGCTCCCAAATTTCACGGCCATCGTCTTACTAGCTAGACCACCAAACGCAATACTGTGATATCTTGTGAGTGCCGCGTCAGGCAACTTAAACGGACGTTCGATTCATCTCACAGAACAAGTTCTGTTTTTCCATAAATGATTTACTAGGCAGTCACATTCAATGCAAGACATAAATCAAGCGAGTTACGTTTCTCATTCACTTAAAGTTCTCAAATAAATTGAGACTGTTTTTTCCCACACTTGTAATCATCAGTTTTACCGAATAAAGCTAAACAATTCACACAATGGCTATCTAAAACAAATCATATACCAGATGGTTTGACTAGATTTTCAAACGATTTGAACGTCAGAATCGCTACAGTCTTCAACGAGGGTTTTTCTCATCCAAAAACCTGGCGACGATGAAAACAAATATTAACCTTATATTAATGTAGGCATCAATACCAATGTTCGACTTGATAGTTACAATTAAATTGAACGACGGGTGAAAATATTGTATTTCTGATGTTTCGTGACTCCATTTAAGCCACTTCTTCAGAGTAAATAAATAACCGAACATTAAATTAACGCAAGTTTAAATAGTACAAAGAAAACAATGCAAAATAGTTTCAGTACAATCAAGATCGCAATAGGTCTGAATATGTCAATGTCAAGTAATATTAATCAAGGTGAATTTGTGTGGCCCTGTCACTGTATTAGTTTGTGTGTCACATTATGGGTATGAAAAATGTACACATTTGTGATATGAATTAGTGGTGAGTTGAAGTTGTGTGTGTGTGTAAAAATATGAAAAAAATAAAGTTCAATGTGGTTGTCTGGAAAAATAGTCCAGCTTGGATGAATATTCAAGTTTTCTTTCCCATTGAGGGTAGAGGGAATTAGCACTATGTGAAACGCTTCGGCTACTCGTCTCTCTTTGTAGTTGGAAAAGCTTTCCTGACTTATTTTGATATTTTTATTACAATTAGGTGATCATTGAAAATAGCATGTACTGCTGTGGTATATGCTACTGATGTCGACAGATATAAGTAGTATGTATCATCAATCGGAATTGAAATGCCTGGAGGTAGAAGCCTAACAAGTTCAGAGAAAAGAGAACGAGAACAAAGAAGTCTGAGACGACTGATTGACATTTTGCAAATGAAGTATTTACTGTATGTTTCTCAGATCGAATACATTCGATTGTCATAATTGGTTGATCACTGTGTGGTGATCAATGTCATGTGTGTCAAGTCCTTATTAGTGCATATAGAATGCTATCAATCGAGTTGCATTGTGGACACTAGTCTAGCTGACTTGACACTGCGTGAACTATACTGAGACTAGATGGTGGTTGGAAGAGGTCGACAGGAAACCCCGGACACGGGTTTCGTGCTACCTGGCACTCGTCAGCAGGGTGTACCTGTTATCTTCAGGGAACTGGTGCTCCCTAGCGATTCGATCGCGTGTCACCCAGCTTCATAGTCACATAATTTTATAACCTAATACCTACACATCTTCTATACTCATCTCATATTTGGCTGAACACTGAATTTGGAACATTCATTTAACAACTGACATTAATTGATCTTTAACTTAGTTATCATTAACCACTACTGTAATCAGTCAGCTAAGATGTAGGACCAGACACATACTTACATCTTTCCAAGTTGCCATGTCACTCAGAGTCTGCAACCATTGGTTACGATAGTCACGCGAACCCCAACCGAATACTTGGCATCTACCAACATAGCTCAGATCAGAACTTAGTGATTCCAATGCCTGATGCCACGTTTTGGTTTAGCCGCCCCTAACTTTATTCCAGCCATCTCCAACACTAGTCAGTTAGCATTGCGCGTCGTGGTAATCGGTGTTCAGGCATACGCGACACGTGATTCTAGCAGATGTAAACTATATATGCTTTATTAGGAGTAGTATTACATTAATCACTAACTAACTGAATGTATTAAACCTCAATAAACATAATCATATGTAATATTATCAGTTGTTTTTTTCTCATTTATTTAAACTCCATTCTTATTGTGTATTTATAAACTTTGTAAGTTCAGCAAAAATTTATTCCATACTACATTCACTTCACGTGATGATATAGTTCTTCAAAGAGATCTGTTATTATTAGACAATGTTAACTTGAATATTTCTATAAAATATTCAAGTTGACTAATGTTGCTTAGGAAATAATATGGTAAGAGTATAGCTTAGAGATAAGTTTAAAACAATTGGGAAGATGTTTTAACTCGTTCTAAACTCGGTTAAGCCAGTAATTTTGTCCCAAAATTTCCTTGTACGACTGAGAGTGGAGAAAGTCATCTCTCCCTCTCCAAATGCTCTCAAGTGGCCACGATTATACCACCAACTCCAAGCAAGTTTTACTCACTGCATTCTCGCGGCATCATTGTTGTTTACGAAATTGAGAGGACGAAAGGCGAATGTCCGGGTTGGTGGATACAGAGGATCTACCTAAGGGAGTTCGAAAACTTCGATCTTTATGTGAAAGGTACGAGGTGTGGCCCCCTAAGGAAACCACCTGCTTCGGTCTCGACACCCGAGCAGTATCACAGCCCTTACGTAAATCGCATATCTATTTGGTGTCGCCTTGACTCACGATTTCAACTATTCAAATTACTATGATATCCACAAAAATCCTTTCCGATGATGTGATATTTTAAGTTGATATTTATTGACTGTTCAATCAAACAATTTTATTCTAAATGTTTTTGAGTTTTGACACACACACATGTGAAATGTATGAAATGCTTAATCTTGCGATCATGACCCTACACCAGATATTCAATGTACCCTATTAGATTATATTATAACATCTTACATTCTATACTAGTAGACTTCTTGACAGATTCGATCCCGTGTCACCCAGCTTCACAGAGACGTTATCACTGAGCTATCAGGACGCGGTCGAGTAAGCTAGACTAGTGTCCACAATGCAACTCGATTGATAGCATTCTATATGCACTAATAAGGACTTGACACACATGACATTGATCACCACACAGTGATCAACCAATTATGACAATCGAATGTATTCGATCTGAGAAACATACAGTAAATACTTCATTTGCAAAATGTCAATCAGTCGTCTCAGACTTCTTTGTTCTCGTTCTCTTTTCTCTGAACTTGTTAGGCTTCTACCTCCAGGCATTTCAATTCCGATTGATGATACATACTACTTATATCTGAAAGACGAGTAGACGAAGCGTTTCACATAATGCTAATTCCCTCTACCCTCAATGGGAAAGAAGACTTGAGTATTCATCCAAGCTGGACTGTTTTTTCAGACAACCACATTGAACTTTATTTTTTTCATATTTTTACACACACACACACACAAAACTTCAACTCACCACTAATTCATATCACAAATGCGTACATTTTTCATACCCACAATGTGACACAAACTAATACAGTGACAGGGCCACACAAAGTCACCTCGACTAAAATATTTTGCATTGTTTTCTTTGTACTATTTAAACTTGTGTTATTTACTTACTCTGAAGAAGTGGCTTAAATGGAGTCACGAAACATCAAAAATACAATATTTCTACTCATTAGGATATAACAACAATGTACTTATATATTTATGGCGAACGCATATATATCACATTGCTAGGGATAATTCATTCTAACATCACTAAGAGTTGTACACTTAATGTTCATCTCTTCTGTAAAGTTTATCGGTGTATAGAGTGTATAGAGTGGGCAGTTGGCTGTTAAGTAAATGTTTCAAGTGTTTTGTAGTATTACCATGATAAAGATTTTATCGATTGAATTTAACCCAGCGCATTTCACGAATACGTTGAATTTTCTTATCCATTACTCATTATGATCATCAGTGAGTTAATTTCAGCCATAAGTAATGCTGAATTTCCTATTTATAGACATTTAATAGTTCAATCTAATATACCTAACTTCACTGACACATTTCTCCTTTAACTTTCCTTATGGAGTCCTTTATAAGTATTGATCTTAAGCCTACAATTGTTATATTAGAAGAATTTGCCGTTGAGGCCCTATATTTTTCACTAATTGGACCGTTTTATTTATTTATTTATTTCAACACAGATATTGGTACAAAGAGGCACCAAATACATATGCGCCACACAAATCTCATTCGATATGTATGAGGTGCCCAGACCGAAGCAGGTGGTTTTCTTAGGGGGCCACACCCCGAGCCTTTGACCTAAAGGTCTGATCCACAAGGCAGTGGAGCATCGTAAGGAGATGCAGTCCCATGGAAGCCGGTGACCAACGACTGGTTCATACGCCATTTGTTCCCGCAGGATACTGGAGCCCATGTGCACCATTGGTTTGGGATCCGGTTAAAGCGCCGGACATTCTCTTTTCGTCCTCTCATTTTCGTAAACAACACCCCTGCCACGAGGAGGCAGTGAGTAGGACTTCCCTGGTAGAGGCTATATACGCGAGGCCGTGTGAGAGCATTTCGAGAGGGAGAACGGACTCTGCCCACTCTCAGCCGCACCAGGGCATTTTGGGGCTATTGTGTAGTTAAGTAAGGTCATTTAAATAACTACACATGGAATTTGTATGCCGGTTTTAGAGATATTGTAGAGATTCATCATAAAAGAATCCTTGAGGCTTGATTAGTGATGTTTTTAGTTTAAATTAATACAGGGTTCAGACATTAAAGTTCCTTCTTGTAATAATTACATTCCGTAAGCATGAACCCCTTGCATTGGTAACAAATACGGTGGAAAAGAAATGAGTTTGATGATAGGCTAGGTGAATAGCCGTTTCCAATAGCTATTCATATTAAAATGACGGCTCCTTATGGAACCAGACAATCAAACTGCACTAGTGACATTCATTGATCTAAGACCTGAAAATTTACTGCCCCTGGTTAAACTACTCTGTATTTGACATGATTGAACTTCGTGAGACAAGAATTTTAGTCAGTAATGCTTGACAATAAGCAGGCAAAACCAGTCTACACTGAACACTACACAGAATAAGAACTTGATATTCGATCCACTGAGACATTTTTAAAAGCTAGAACTCCTAGTACTTACCCCTAAATAACGTACAAGCATCAGATTTAAATAAAGCGATCTAACAGAATTATCTAAGCTGGGTAGAAATTAAGAAATGAAATTGGTGTCTGAATAATCGATGAACAGTTCACTACACTGATAATTTACTAAGCATATTTGTGAAAATATGAAGCTACAATGGAAAAGATGATAGCTTAAATGAGTACAACAATATTGGTTGTAGGATACTTATTAAAACATCCCAGAAAGTAAGCTATACCCATGATAACACAATTCAGTTACCTGAACTAGGACACGGCGACAAAGGCCAGATTTTACAAGGGATTTAGCCACCCAACGTGCTGCATAAGCTGCGGATCGATCAACTTTGGAATAATCTTTCCCAGAAAACGCCCCGCCACCATGTGCACCCCAGCCTCCGTATGTGTCTACAATGATTTTTCTGCCTGAGAAAAAATTAGTCAACCAAAAACGATGAAAATGAGAAAAAATCTTCATATGTTGTAGTCTAACTATGAACCGTGTGTAATGAATTATCATGTAAGTAGAAAATACAAAAATCAATGATTAAATCAGTTACAATTTTGTCATAAGCAGCGTAGAATCTAGTATATTTATTTATTTATTTGAACACATGAATACTGGTACAAGAGAGCGCCAATATATATGCCCCACACAAAACAATGAGAATTCGAAGAGAAATAGAAAAGAAAAAAAAGATAAAGAGCGCAAAAATAAGAGAACAATAACGAAGAGATTGGTGTAAGGTAGTGTGGTAGTAATGAGGGAACGGAAAGGTGCAATCGGAAGAAAAATCTTTCAGGCAAGGGAGACACAACCACTTTTTATGAAGAAAAGAAGGTTACAGCAGGATCGCCACTGGCTTCTATTCTGAGTCATATCTGATAACGTCTCTAGCCACTGTGTAGCACTATCTCTCAGACCCCAACAAGGGAGTCGTGAAGGACCGACAGAAGCCAGTCCTTTGCAGCTTTCTTTCATGCCACGACACCATGTCATACACTGACCACCTCTCCGCTTTCTCCAACCAGTCCCAGAGTCGGCAAATAATGCACAACGTGGAATTCTCTGGGACGACATTCGTAGAACATGTCCAAGCCACCGAAGTCGGTGTTTCAAGATGGTGACACCAATTGAATTATCATCTCTGTGCCCGAACACACGATGCCGAACCTCTGCATTACTGACATGGTGTTGCCACTGAATGTCAGCAATCCTTCGGAGACAGCGATGATCGAACACAGAGAGTCGTCTAACGTCCTCAACTCGGAGAGGCCAGGTTTCACAAGCATAGAGCAAAATTGCTCTCACCAACGTGTTGTAGATCCGACCTTTTACAACCAGACTAACATCACGAAGGCACCAAAAGTGGCCCAGATTGGCATAAGTCGCTCTGGCTTTCACTATACGTACATTGATCTCATCACTCACACCCCCACCAGCACTTATGCAGCTACCCAGATACACGAACTTCTCGACTACTTCTATCTGCTCACCATCCAGGGTGAGTACAGGATTGGAATCCTGTCAGTCTTGTAGGAGTACTTTGCACTTCGAAGGTGCAAAGCACATACCATAATTACGGACACTGATCGCCAACTGATTAAGTGCGGATTGCATGTCTTGGGCATTATCGCACAGTAAGACAATATCATCCGCATACTCAAGGTCGAGAAGTCTCTCTCCAGGCAACAGACCCACACTGCCATTACTTACATTCATCAGAGCTGTTTCCAGACTGTCATCGATGACAAAGTTGAAGAGGAATGGTGAGATTGGGCAACCCTGTCTAACCCCACTGCTCGAATGGAACAATGGAGAAAGGTGGTTGTATGCCCTCACTCTGCCTGAGGTGTTTTTATATAGGGCTTTTAGGATGTTAATAAACTTCTCAGGCACACCCCTCTTCAATAGACAATCCCAGAGAACAGTCGTGTCCAACGAATCGAAGGCAGCCCTGATGTCAAGAAACACTACGATTGTTGGCCTTTGATAAGTATGGCGGTGTTCTAACATTTGGCGGAGGGTGAAGATATGATCAATACATCCTCGACCAGAACGAAACCCAGCCTGCTCCTCGCGAGTCAATCTTTCTCGGGTTTTGAACAACCTACGAAGTATGACGGAAGCCAATAGCTTGGACGCAATCGGAAGTAGACTTATCCCCCCATATTTGTTACAGGAACGACGTGAACCCTTTTTAAAGATAGGGACAACTATCGACTCATTCCATGACGTTGGTACACTTTCTAGTTCCCAAACCTTTGTAAACAACGTCGTCAATTCCTTAGACAAAAAGTCACCACCATCTTTAAAAAGAGCCGAAGGTAAGTCATCAGGGCCAGGTGATTTGTAACGCTTCATGCAGATACGTGCAGCGATTCAAGTTATCCCATCCTATCAGAACGATGAGATGAAACTATCAAGAAAAATATCATAGGGACGTGATAAGTAACAATATTAGTGATATGAATTTTAGGTTAATTTATAATTTGGATGATCCCATTGTTTATCTTTTCATCTACTAACATGGCCCCCAAACGCCCTGGTACGGACGAGGGTTGGGGAGTCAGCTCTCCCTCTCGAATTGCTCTCACATGGCCACCTGTACATAGTTATTTTATTTCAACACATAAATATTTGTACAAAAGGGTACCAAATATATATGCGCCACACCATATTTGTGTGTGTGGGCTGTGATACTGCCCGGGTGCCCAGACAGAAACAGGTGGTTCTTAGGGAGCCACACCCCGAGCCTTTGACCTAAAGGTCTGATCCACAAGGCAGTGGAGCATCGTGAGAAGTAGTCCCATGGAAGCCGATGACCAACGACTGGTTCATACGCCATTTGTTCCCGCAGGATACTGGAGCCCATGTGCACCATTGGTTTGGGATCCGGTTAAAGCGCCGGACATTCGCTTTTCGTCCTCTCAATTTCGTAAACAACACCCCCGCCACGAGAAGGCAGTGAGTAGGACTTCCCTGGCAGAGGCTGTATACGCGTGGCCGTGTGAGAGCATTTCGAGAGGGAGAGCAGGCCCACCCCACTCTCGGCCATACCAGGGCATTCGGGGGCACAGTGACTATCAGGGAAGTCCTACTCACTGACTTCTCGCCACTGGGGTGTTGTTTATGAAATTGAGAGAACGAAAAGCGAATGTCTGGTGCTATAACTCGTTTGGTGGATATGGAGGAACCACCTAGGGCAGTTGGAAAATCCTGATTACAAACTAATGGTGCACATTATCTCTAAAATCCCGAGGAAACAAATGGCGCATGAACTTATTGTTGGTCACCGGTTATCATATAACCGAGTCTCTTAAAGGTGCTCCACTACCTTGTGGTTTAGACCTTTAGGTTGAAGGCTCAGGGAGTGGCCCCTTAAGAAAACATACTGCTTCGGTTAGGGCGCCCGAACAGTATCTCAGCCTTCATACAAATCGAATGATTTGTGTGGTGCATACATGTCTGGTGCCTTCTTGTACGAATGTTTATGCGTTTAAATAAATAAGTAAAACTAATATGGCTTAGTCCAACTCTTAATTCAACCGAGTGTTTTCAACTTCCTACGATTTAACATGTTTTTACAATGCATATGAAATTTATTTTTCAGAATTTAAAATAACATCTCCACAGATTTCGTATAATACGGCTTGTACATCCGTATACTGGGATATTAGATAACACTTAAAATGCGATACAGCCGCAAACGTCTGCAATGAGGACATTGACGACTAACGAAACTCCCCTATCCAGATGACAAATGTGAATGAGAGAACAGATTCTCTCCGCAAACGGATTCGATTCCGTGTCATAATCAATGAAGTTATCATTGAGCTGTTTGGTTCGCGACTGAACTCCTATAGGACTGAGATATATTTACAATTGACTGTTTGTCCTAGAACACATAAGAGAAAAATGACGTAACCGAGTGCATGTATCTATTTAGATAACTGACCCAGATAATAGAAACGGATGTACATAGCATAATTAAACGATATTTCATGATCAAAATAATACTAAAATGATGAAAGTCTTATGTTGTTCAAATGGAGACAATAATAATAATATTATATGTGGAAATTATATTTGAAATATTCTCAGCGATTGAAATTCAGATGATTTCAACGTTTCGTCCAGCTAATTTGTCTGGACTTCTTCAGGGTAATAATCAAAATCAAAATTATTAAAGAAAAAAAACGAAACGTTGGAATTATTCAAATTTCAATCGCTGAGAATATTTCAAATATAATTTTCACATATAATGACTTCTCTATATTCGGCGCTCAATTACTGTCAAACTATTCGTTCTAATCTTGACGAATATTCGTATAAATAATAATATTAGTTTCTGAATTGGTTATATGTTAATTTAAACTACGAAGGAGAAATGTAGAGTTGCTTCGACAATTATATGTAAGTTAATAGACACTATTTGAATTACATGTATTAAGATAACATCGTGTATTGTGAAAGTGCATATTTATTGCGGTTACGAAGAAATGATGATTTGGACTGTTAAACTGTCCTTTCTACTCAAAGTGTTATACCTTTTTATGATGGAATAACCCAAAGAAAAACCCGATTTAAAATCTCTCAAACTTTTCAAAAGATAACTTACCAGTTAAACCAGCATCACTTTGAGGACCACCAATTACAAATCTTCCAGCTGGATTTAGATGATATTTAGTTTTTTCATCTAAGAGATTTGTAGGAATTACTTCTTTAATAACATATTCCATTAAATCAGCTCGAACTTTTTCCAAAGTTACATGTTCATCATGTTGTGTAGAAATGACCACTGTATGTACTCGTAAAGGTCGACAAGCTCCATGATCATTTAAATACTCTACGGTCACCTATAGTAAACGAAAGAATCAAGTGTCAGACTACAATAATTAATAATAATAATAATAATCGTCTAAATTGTACATCTTTCCTACCAATATACAAAAATGAAATGAGAGAAAATATGAACTACTACTATTTTAATTATTCATTTAATTGTTTCCTCGTTCAACAGAACAGTTCAGTCAGTCAGTAACAACGTAGAACTTCGTACGTACGTACATCAGTTCGAGTTGCCATACCAAATTAGCACAGAGATGCAGTTGTCTGGATTCATTCCGAATAATCACTGATTGGGTTGTGCGAGAATTACAGTAATAAGATATTATACACATGTTTGATATAATCTGTACTCTTTTCTGCTTTATATCAGAAATATTTGTTCGATTTATTTGTAGACAGGACTGAGTGGTCACTTATTTATTGAAATGGCGTTTTCGGTTTATTTGTTGAGGATCATGGCTGAGATTATCTCCAACGTTTTTAAGTGTCCTACGTGTGTCGTAGACAGAACTTCCAGTTTTCTGTTCAAGCAGTATAAATGCTGCATAGTAAAGTGGAAATCTCATTTCAAGCCCGAATTGGTATTGTATTTGTGCTTTTCATCCAACATTTCGAGCTGTGCTACATGTCCGTACAAGAGAAAGTTGTGAATAATCTTATACCAAAAGGTTTAACCATGGAACTTAGTAAAATCGAGCACTAAACCACATACTAGATAACACAACATTAAACATAAGTTTACAAAGTCAATTAAAATATTGTTTATAAAAGAAGAACATAAATTTCGAATTTCTTCTGTAGTAGGTAACTTTATTTATTTCTTGCATAACTCTCCATTATGAAATATTACTAAAATCCAGTAGCTGATGTCATAATTGAACCATTTTTATGACTTGCATGCCATAGAGCATAATATTTTTCTATAAAGGCAAAGCTCTAGCCCTATTTTTCCTTACTTGTATTTTCATATGTATTAATTTGCTTTCTTACATCTAATGACATTACTCCAACTCTTCACTGTTTACCCTCTAAGTCTGCCGTTACACGGAATTGAACTGTGAGTACATCATGATTCATGATTTGGGTATCTTTGTTGTTTACACTGTTTGCTATAATAGTGCTGAATTTTTAGACAAAAAACGTTACTCGATCTTTAACTTGAAGAGTAACTGAGTGATTGGATTCAAGATCCTACTACCAATCATTGTTGTGGAATAAGCAGGAACATTGTGACCACTTTCGATATTCGACCTTGAAAGTTGAGAACGACGAATAATTTGAGCAACTTTCTACAAATGTAAATAACATTATGGGACGTGATTTACACCTTCGAAATGCAAAGTACTCTACAAGACTGGCATGAGCTTATTACCTGCACTCACGCCTTTGGTGCGACTGTGACGTTAATCTGGCTGTACAACACCAGGTTCACAACGGATCAGCAAGTACTATTTTGCTCTATGTTTGTGAAACTTGACCTTCCCGAGTTGAGGACATTCGGGAACTCTTTTGCTGACTATCATCGTCTTCGAATGACTGCTGACATTTAATTGGAACACCATGTTAGTAATGCTGAGGTTTGGAAGTTGTGACCACAACTCAATTAGCGTCACCATCATGAAACACCGGATTTCGGGGCTTGGACATGTGTTACGAATGCCATCCCAGAGGTTTCCACGTCATCAGTTGTTTGCCAACGCTGAGACGAAATGGAAAAAGCAGAGGGGTGGTCAGATTATGACATGATGGAAAGCTGTATACGACTGGTATATCGGTTCATCATGACCACGCCAATTGGAGTACTAGGAATAGTGCAACTCGGTGGAATGAGACGTTATCGAAATCGGTGTAAAACAAGAGCCAATGCGGACCATGCTGTAGTTTTTCATACTCGTCACAGGAGTGAGAGGAAATATCTTGACTGAAATTGTTCCTCCTAGCTGTATTTTTATGACTGAAGTGTCCTTCCAACCACAAACTGTTTTTTTTCAATAACCTTATCCATTTATTTATTTTGATTACACCCCACTCGTCCTTCCCATATTTCTCTAAAACTCCATTCCCCTATTTACGTGGCGCATACTTATTTTGGCACCCATTTGTATCAGTATTTGTGTTGTAAATAAACTTAATGAAAAAATGTCGCGAGTCAATGAAAATAGACAAGTTCGTTTATCTTTGCAACTGTGTGGGTGCTAACTGGTGGTATTACATATGAGTCCATTCTATGTAATAACGAAAGGTAGAGCAGTTTATATCAATTTTTAGCTATTCATAGAATTATGCTGATGTTAGTCTGGCTGTAAAACACGAGTGTGCGACGCATCACTGAGACCAGTTATATGTTCTACTTGTAAAACTTAGTCTTTTATAGGTTGACAATGTTTGGTGAGTGTTAGGTCATTACTGGTCTCCTGAAAATTGCTCATATTTATTGGTAACGTTGTGTCAATAATACTGAGATCTGTGAACGTTTTTTATAATTATGGTAATCTGATTTGTAACAGAGGCTGAACACCTACTCCAGTGACTACTGTTGGTAATCTTTTGTACTGAAATATTTGTCATGAAATGACGAAAATAAAAAGTAAAAACGTTAATACCATTTTTTCTACTAGGTTCAAACTACTAATATTATCATCACATAAACAGACAAGATACCAATTATTTGAAAAATACGACACACCTATGCTATTAGAAATATTTAGAAGCATAGCTTAGAAATCAAATGTCTTATGAAATAACCGAATATCCTTTATGTAAGAGATTAATGATAGTCAGACATTAACGTAGAGCCTGGCAAAAATGGGCGTTTGCTCAAGTTACTATACCAGGTTAGCACGGTAAGATAAGATTAACATGATGTACGGCATAAGAGATGTAATGTACTGTAATGTAGTACATATGATAGGAAGACTAAGGGTTGATACGGCTTTAAGGGTCAGAGAGGAAAGATATACATAAAGTGATCTTGGAAGAAAGGAGTATAAAAAGTGGATACATCTGCTGTTATGAACGACTTTGAGCCATGTTTTCTAAAGTCTTCAACCAATGGTCGCAGTTGTCACGCAAACTACAACTACACAGTCTGCATTTACCAACATAGTTCAGACTACGACAGTTGTTAACCGTTTACAATGTGAAGTAGGAAACATATTCTGAAATGTTTGAGAATCTTTATTATGAAGATAAACCTGAGCATATACGGGGCATATAAAATACCATGTTAAGACTGAACTTTGATTTTGTAAAATAACAAAGAAACTTACTTGAGTCTTTGAATCAGGACCCGCCCACGGCAAAATACCATTACGCCTACATGTGGCTATGCGTTTATTTAAAGCGTGTGATAGGGTAACTGTTAAGGGCATACATTCTTCAGTTTCGTCAGTTGCATAACCAAACATTAATCCCTTTAAGAATAAATGAAGAACAAGTACGAAGTATTAAAAATATCCTTGTTTTGTGAGGTAATATACCTAACATAAGTCTTACGACAAATAAAAATATCATCTACTTAAAACAGGCGTCGAAAGATAGAAAGACTGGCATTTAATTTAACAGAAGCGATTGGATAGGGGAATACAACAAAACGATAAAGTTCTGATTTAAATACGATCAGAATGCCTGCTAACTACTGATAAATTTTACACTTTGAGCAGCTAGCATATATCCTTAAGGCTATTATCCTACTAGAAAGATTATCTAAAACAATAAGTTTAAATGTACGCTGAAAGTAGTTTGTAGATTACAAGTTGAACCTAACAATGTACGACAGTTGCACATTTTGCTTCCAATTATGATTGGACAAAGATTACAATTCTGTGGTCAGTGAAAACCAGGAAACACTAGATGGCTGCTTCATCATAATACAAGACTCCTCAGTAGTCCGCAATCAAGACAGATCAAGGGATTGAACGCAAGGACTTTAGTTTGACGGCTGCTGCTTATTTTTTAAGACTACCTTCCATTACTTCGAGAGGAGAGCTGTCATGCACGAGTTCCCCAAATTATTCACTGGTGAGATGACCATTGGCAAAGACAGTGGAAATCTTTAAGTTGTCAGTTCACATTATAAATTGTTAGTTAGACAACAACCGACAACTAGGAAGCACTAAAACATAGATACACGCTTCCGAGCCTCATATTAAGGTGGAACAGCTAACTGATGGTTCTTGGTTTTTAACGGTTGTCTATGACCAGAACGTGATGTAAACGATAAGAATTCAACAACTTCGACAAACTCTCTGTACTAAGAACCTCGTTTTCTTAAAAAGTAATTACATATATTTTTGGCAGTTATTTTGACTCAGCCGACGGTCTTATTTGATTGCGGAATGTCTTTATCTGAAGATCATCATCCCGCAAGTAAATAAAATGACTAACATTCAAAAGTGCCAAAGGATAATTTTGGATTTACTGAATAAGAACTTCACATCTGATGGGTATTCATTGTCAAAAAACATAAAGTAACCTCTTCGAGTTTATTTATACCGACACGAGTGATGTGAAAGATTAGGATTTGGTTTATATTGTATCTTAACTCAGTACATGTATTAATCCAAGCATTTACAAGATCGCCAGAATATCACAAATATGAATAACCTAAAGATTTATTAAATTTTATCATTGACAACAAACTAGATATCTGAACATTCCTTAGATAGGTGTCACAGTGTGAGAACATCAGTAATAACTTGAATATTCTAGAATTGACAATGTTAAAGTGGTGAAAAGGTAACTCGGGTAAAGCTGAGACCGATGTAAACTTCATACGACCAAGCAACTGTGTAAAGCCTATTTCTTCGAAAGTAAAGAAACACGATTAATCAACTGAAGTGCCAGAATCAGCAAATGGGATTTTTGAGAGATCGCAATTTATAGGCGACCTTTGCGTGACGTTACATCGCTCTTATTAATGTCCACTTATCTACTAAGTTATAAATTAGTGAGAAATCAGGATTAAAATTTACAGCTGCATGTTAGGGTTAGGAACTATATTTAGTTTTTATCACGAACTGATATCAGCTATAATGCCAAAACGCTATTTAATCAAATGAATAGGAGATGAATTCAAAGACTTATCTTATTGGTTAGTCCATAAATTATAGTCTCGCCAAAACTCTAATTACGGCTAGAAACGTGACAAAAAACGAATGAAACATCGGAAATTAAAATAAAACAAAAACACAACCGACAATCAGCACTATCTAGACAGATGACTAACACTTCTGGGTTGCGTAATGTTTGAAACATGCATAAAGGGACGAACAGGATAACTGAAATAGCATTTGAAGCTAATGACATGCAATTGGTGCATTATCATTAACAATAGTGGATTTCTCTTAGCGTCAAAATGCTGAGGACGTAGACAAGATTAACAACACCGATCAATAAGGAGAATAGATCAAGCTGGAGTGCCTATATTGACAAACCGCATAAACCTCAGTGTACACTTTTAAGTGAAAAATTCCAAGAAAGTAAGCCGGACAATTTGCCAGTCGAAGTTGGGCGTTAGAAAACTTCAAGACAAATAAGTATACATAAATAAACATATCGTCAAAAACACGAAAAAAATTACTTGGTCTCCAGCACCAATATCTTCAATTTTTCGTCCTTCATGTACACCCTTCGCGATATCTGCACTTTGTTGCTCAATTACTGTTAAGACATTGCAATTCTTATAATCCAAACCCTTGTGAGTATCATCGTAACCGATATGCTTCACAACATCGCGGACAGTTTTCTGTATGTCAACTACAGCGTTCGACGAGATTTCGCCCCCAACAAGAATAAGTCCACTTTTTACAAAGGATTCTAATTTAAGAATAAACAATTTGGAGAGACATACCACATGCTACTTTAGCCTCAGGATCCTGGCGCAGAAACTCATCAAGTATGGCATCACTTATCTGATCACAAACTTTGTCTAACCCCTAAATATATGATATCAAGTGATCAAATACCTGGATGTCCTTCACCAACAGACTCGGAAGTGAACAAAAATGTATCCGATTCGGCACTCCCACCGTTCGTAAAAGAAGGCATCCTGGGACAGTCTAGTCACACGGTCAGAAATTTAAAAGTGCACAAGTCGAGCAGAAGCAGAATCAATCACGTTAGCGTAACTAAACAATCTCAGGAATAAATAATTGCACAGGTTTTCATGTTTATTCTAGTCAGGGATGTACTAACTACGAAATTTGGGTGATAGTAATCTGTATAACTGGCGAAGGTTAACAGTACCAAATACGGTGTTCTGGTAGAAAACTACCAAGTTATTCAGCATGTACTATATTTGTGACGAGCTTGTACAAACCAGTTGATTTCCCTGCCTTCGAATCTTGGTGTCTAAAATAATTTTAAGTGTTTTGTTTTGGTCGCTTAATCATTTAGTTGCACTAGCCCTAGTGAACTTAATGATTATATTATATAATACAAATCTCGAGATGTGGTAAAATTGTAAGACCAGAATTAGGAGAAATATGGGAGGTGGTTTCAAAGTAATTAGTTTCTGTAAAAGAAGTACACATCTGAATACTTAAAAACGAATAAGTGAGCCCTAACAGATAGAGCAGAATGGACATACCGCAAATGCTAAAGTGCAAGCCAATATTTGGGACTAAGTATGTGGACTGAAGGGTCCTTTTTCCATATAAAATCAAAAGAGAGTGTATGATCATCCAGGATAAGACTTTATTACTAAGATTCGCAATAGTAACTTTCTGGAAGTTAGAGGTTATATATTATAGAGTCAGTGAAATATCACTGAGCATCCGGCAGTTGGGTCACTGAATATCGAACAGATCATCGATCCCTGTTAGGGTCAATGACAACCAACGCTCATAAGTTGGTCTTATGTCATTTACTTTCACATGCGGTGGTGGTCTCGCTACCTTCTCTGTACTCATTCTTACTAATATATTTCCCTAATAACGTCCTTTATGTTGTACGGTCTTCAAAGCAGCTATAGTCCTTTGATACTTCGAAGGGGTATTCCACGATAGATACTGACCACGAAGTGTAACTTTGAAGCTAGCTGGTTCGTCACACCATTCCCGTCTAACTCGAATAGGCCTCCAGTCATTTGACATAAATCATCTAAGTTGATGATTTACAATATTGATGTTTTAAATTAACAGCGATAAAGACTAATACTGACGTTTGTATCTAATATAGTCCGTATATTCTTTGAAGTCGTAAAACTCCTCTGACGATGAGTTTTTAGGATGCTCAGCAGGCCTGATACTGCTGATTCATTTTTATTTAGACTGAGGGTAATTCTGAAACCAATAAAATGAATCACAATGGCAGACTCAACCTAGTGTCCATAACCACTTCAGTTCCCAGCACTTTTCTTCTGATTTCTGTTTCAGATGTCCTCTCCATATTGTCGCAGACAGCTTGATGCAGCAAGAACGTCTCGCCATCTGTCGCCTGTGTGTGTATACGCTCCGTATCACCAAGCCCTGATAGAGAGCTGGGATTAATCTTGAATGTGTCACAAGAGTCAGTCTCCATGCAGCCCAACTGATGGTCGTGATAGGAATCTGCATTTATATTTTGGCGCTCAGAATGATGGATAAGCTCAGAATAAAACTTATGCAGGTATTGTTGCAAACGAATCGTTTGTCCTTCTTGGCCTCTGAAATTATATAGCCACTGCGGAGCCGTAGGGTCATTTCAACATATGAAATGCCTGCCAAGAATGCATGTTTTATACTTCAGTATGAACTCACGACAGCTAACACTACTCTTTGTGTGACTCAGTAATTCTTTTCAAACCGATTCAATGTTTGACTTCCATACTCAATAACATGCTCTTTAACAGTGGGTCTAATCTGGTTCAAATCACTCCAGTTCCTGTTTCGCTTGCGTCTGTACCTGAGATGTACTTATCCGCGATTATCATAGTGTTCGGCAGTATTATCACGAGAGCTAAAAATACTGCCTCTTTTGCAGGACTGTAAGTGTTGTTTCCAAACACTCGAATTACATATTGTGATCTGTTAAACGCGTTTGCCGGCTAGCTATTTGGGCATAGTTTTTTCGAAGTGCCTGTAGTAACCCGATAAACCAAAAAGTTATGTATTTCATCCGGTGGGAATGGCACAGACCAATTCTTTACGGCAAGCTCTTTTTTCGGATCACTGCGAATACTGTCAGGCCTGATCATGAGACGCAAAAAGGTTGTTCCTTTACGTAATATGTTGCATTTGCTAGGTTGAACATTTAACCCATCATCACTAAGTGTCAGTAACACTAGCTGAAGGTGGTGATGATGTTATTCGAGCTGGTTGCTGAGATCACTGTTATCGTCTAGGCAAATCATGTGCACCTTCAAGACCAGATCCTTCAGGACTAACTTCATGGAACTTCGAAAGTTCGCAAGGCTATTGGTCATCCTGAGGGGCGTTGTTCGTAACGCGCATAACCTGGTTCGAATGACAGGTGCCGTCTTGACTTTGTCCTTTGAACGTGCCTCAGCCTGTTAGCAGCCTAACGCTAAATCTGAAGTTGAAAATCATGAAGTGTTCGCTAGCGCCTCCAAGGTTTCTTTAATGCGTGGCAAGAAGAATGAACTCTTACGAGTGACCACATTTAGCTTCTTATAATCAGCATAGCCTTACCGTTCTATTATTCTTTCTGCTGAGGACTATTAGAAATCCCCGTGGAGGATGTGATGGTGTAGTAATTACCTTATCTCGCATATCCTTTATCACATGTTGCAACCCGGATCGAAATTGAAACGAGATTATACGGTGCCCTTGTCTAACAGATGTGACACTTCTTGTGTCGATCTAATGCTTTAGCGGTTTAGTCTTTCCTACTCCTGCCTTCCTTCGCACAATAGCCTTAGAGCTCGCCTACTATAACTTACAAACTTTTCCCCAGCGACCGCTCGGCGATCCTGACAACAACTGCTCCATCAAGGAGTTAGCTGTCATTTTGATAGTTTGATGAAGAGCAGTGCTCAATTTTTGTTTCTCAACTTTAAACTGCGTACCGAAAACTTCGCTGTCGGGCTTACCTTATCTGTAATAATTTTCTTGCGAAGAATACGGACAAATAAGGACAAAATGTTCCAATTCAATAATCCTTCCTGCATGAACTGACTAGGAGTTATAATCAGGTCCAGGAAACTCAATCAGCCTGGGAACAGTTCTGATGAAAAACCACCTACCACCTAACAAAACACTCAGTAACTTCCACACCGTAGCCCCAAGCATTGTGCCTAAAATTCTTTCAAAACTGCCACAATCAGAATCAATCAAACTGGTTTGCTGAGAATTCGCGAAATACTTAATTTCAAGGCAGCTAAAAACATATTAGCACAACCGGAAGTAATACACCTTCAGTTCGTAATAAGCGCACAATAAGTACGAAGAAATCATCAGCTGGTACAAATACCAAGACCTCGACAGCCTAAATGTGAATTCAGATTCCTGCACATCTCGCACATTTCCCTAGGTCTAGCATGTGTCTGTCCGACTGCGTATTGAGTATTGTCTCTTTATGATCTAAAATGTACTCAGTTGTATTATAATTAATCACGAAAATCGGAACAGACTCACTAGGTTCCTGGGGTTGTATACAATCGCCGTGTTGGTTGCGTACCGAAACCACTATCTAGAATTTAAAGCACAGATTTCTCAACACTATCATCCTCCACGAAATAATGTTGGGTCTTTATATCCCCAAGTTATAAATAATATGGCTTCATTTAAAACATATTTCTAACATTGACTAGAGTAAGTATTAGGAGTGACTTCGTGATAAGAATGAACAGCAGTTGATATGAAATCATCCGAATTGTAATCAAACTCGAGCTCATTTAGTACTCGTGCTTCGCATTGAACAAGTTTCCCACAAGAAATGAATGCATTATGAGGACAAGTAATATTTGGTATGACATCAAGATTTGATTCTTCTGAAATAGTTTTGAGGATGATACAGGTATTCAGTGTTTGACAACGCTTCTACCAGTAACACCATCTAATATGCCTTGTTCCCACCGAGAGAAATCAAAAGACAGAGTCGAGGAGATCGGAAGAGTGTATTTGGCGATAACCAATATATCGGGAATCTCTGATCTAATCTGGCTAGTGATTGCGGTTGATGTTGAGCACAGCGTTACAGCACGTGATCTGGTGCGGATGCATGACCGAGCGCCTTCAGCTAGATGAGTCCACTAAAACATATGGTCAGCATCCAATGTCGAAAACCTATAGAGCTATTTAGGTTGGGGATTTATTTACCGCTACAGATCACTCCCCCCCTAGTGGGGCAGTGATGGCCTCAAGACGTGGCCAGCCAGAAGTTTAAACCCAACGAGTTTGTCGTCGGTAAACACTCTTCTGGTAGCTTACTAAATTTAGCAGCGTCTGGTCGTCTTTCCTTACTATATGGGACCGGGGTACAACATAGTAAAAAAAGAAATGTACAATAAAAATTTCGGATCCTCATAAACGTCATCGTTCTTGTCCAGCCGTCCTGGAAAAGAAGAAAGAAAATGTAAGTGCATGTCGGAAATACACTCGTATGTGCGTAAAAAAGGGAAAATAAACTCATGAACACGTAACAGCGTTAAAAATGTCGTTTTTTTGTTTTTTTGGAATAGAAATGAAAATATATAAGCCTATTAAAAAAATTTATTTTTTAATAATATAGAAGATTTCGAGAAGTGCCTTACGTGCAATAGTCGTTTAAATGTTCTGGAAATCTCACTCTTCTTCCAGAACGCGTCGTTTTAATTTTATTTTCGGATACTGTTGAAGTATCATCGTGTGTGTTGGTTGTCGGATGAGGCATTATAAGTGTCGGAGTCGTGTCGTTCAATTGTACCGAAGGAAAATCCACGTAGATAGGATTTCCTTCTAAATACGCTGCTTTGAGGCGATCGATGCTGATGCTATCGTTGGTTCCGTTTTTATCGATTATATAGTACTTCGGTTCGCGTTGAAGAAATTTGAAAGGTCCTTCGTATGCTGATTCGAAAGGTCGTCGATGCGAGTCTTGACGAACGAAAACGTGTGTACTATATCGTAAGTCAGGTTGAATGAAAACATCAGTTGATTGAGGTCGAGTGGA